AAAAAAAGTAGAAAAATGACAGGCCGTCTCCAGCGCCGACCCTCGGCCGACGACTTAGACAAACTACAAATAGGTGGCCCGAAATCAATCCAATCAAACTACGAGCTCGGTCCAAGGCTCGTTGACTACGAAACTGGCCCGAAACCGACCCATGTGTCGTGTCTACTTCGACGTATCTATTCTTGTTCGGCCCGTGGTCATGTCTACTTCAACGTATCTATTCTCGTTTCTACTTTCTTTGTACTTCACGCATAAAGTTTATCCTGTATCATCTATTGCAACCCCACATCCCCCTATATATTAATACAGAATGCGCTGAGCCTACGTGGCTGTTTCTGGTGCTTCGGAATCCTATGTGGCAAAATTACATGCTTCGTTATTAGGCTTGGGTAAATTTTAATTTAATTCCAAACCAAAAATAATTAGGTTCGGATTACCATAAATATGTTGATTATTTATGGTCATGTTATATGTATTAATTGTATCTTAATATCATTTCTTATTATAATTATTGAATTGTATATATATTTTAAAAGTTAATAACTTTTGTAGTTTTTATCAGATTTACATATGTAATATATCAAATTAATTTTCTTTTGATGAGCTTCGATTTAACATCCATATTGTATGTATAGAAAAAATAATTTATATTTATCTTTATAACAATAATAAAATTATTTTTAATATTAATTAGAAAAATAAATTATTTATCAATTAATATATTTATATTTCAAGTAGTTATATGATATAAGTGATAAAAACTAATATAATATAACATATGTAAGTCATAAGTAACACATATCATTCTAAAATATATAATAATATATTTTTTTTTTTTTTGTAAAAAAAAAACTAAATTTAATATAATTTTCTCATTAATTTTAAAATTTAAGAATAATTTTTTAACAAGCACCCGTGTAATACACAGATATTGTACTAGTTTAATTATCTACAACACAAAGAAATCGATAAAAGTAACTGCTGAGGATGAAGCTGGGAAAAAAGGAAAGAAAAACATAAAATTAATCCAAATAATTAAATTCTTGTTCTCCTCCTCAACCATATGTCAACATGATTGATATCAACAAAGGTTTAAAATAGAAGAAACCTACCCAAGTACAAAATTATTTCTTTCCAGAAAAAAAAAAAAAAANNNAAAAAAAAAAAAAAAAAAACATGAAAACCAAGATTGTTTTTTCTATGTAACAGAAGGCCTCTATTTTTTATGAGATTCATGGCATATGAAATTGAAGACTCGTTGATTATCCTTCATAGTATATATACTTCCTTCTGAGATCACTTCCTATGCTCCATTTGCTTCATATCAAATGCTGTGTTCCCTGAAAGCACGCAGAATATTTCATTTAGAGATCTGCAATAAAAGCATGATTTGAATAAATGCATATTTAATTGTTATCGAAACCAAAAATGTTATCGAATGTAGTTAGCGATCAGATCAAGAGCTGTGATAGGGAACAATTTATATGCTTTCTTCTTTGAATTAGCATAAAAATACAGAGCATACTAGAATAATATCATTGAAGAATTTCAGGTAGGATAATTCTACTTAGGGTAAAAAAATTAAGTGAACTGTGAATATCCTACATCATATTAAAAAAATTTCTGCAAAGTTGTGAAACGGCCAATGATGGTTATACACACATAAGAGATTAGTGGGGCATTGCAAGTTGAACACAAAGTTATCCGAGTAGATTACAAAAATACATGCATGAGTGATTGTTTGCAATTTCTTAACAGGAAAAAACATAAAAATACAAAATTCCAAATTGTTACTTGCTAAAGTTTTCGGTTGCAGGTACATAATAGCCGTCATGGGGCTCAACATTCTGTTCCTCTTTCCTTTTGTGCTTACAAAAACACACAATTGGTCAAAATATTGGAGACTGGTATGGATTGGCATTTGGTTGTGTTTACCAGTAACGATGGTCTAGCTAGCAACACTCAATATAATGTGTGTAGGAAAATGAACACATAACTGAAGTCTCTCTCAATGGAGAAAATATATGCAAGTGTCTTGGAGGAGAAGAGGGAAAAGTCATTGAAACTTACACTCAACCAATTCAAACAAAATGAAACAGAGAGTAACTGAATGATAAACTCATGTACCAAATTAATTATAAAACTAAAGAAGTATAAGTCAGTTCTGCAAGTTATAATGGAACAATTCAACTCATGGATAGATAAACCTGACTTGGCGACATAGCTTAAGTACTATAGGTAGGTGGCTGAAGGAATTAGGTCGAGGCAGTTATCTGGTTTCCAATTTCAGGAATTTCAGAGCAGAATGCCACAGGTGAACTTAAAACATCAGATGCAGCGTCAAACCAGAACTTCATATGACTCATAATGGCATAACCATTACCAGTCAATGAGAAAAAAAACGACCCAGTTGATTTATTGATTTACTATCAAAAGACCATAAAAAAAAAAAGAGTCAATGCAGAATGGATACTTGTATTTCTCACTTTCCAGGGGTCGATAAAGTCAAGATCAGGATCATTCATTGCTTTTCAAAATGAAATTATATTCTTTAATTGTCCATCAGTGTATTTACACGCAATGATAATATGATAGTTGTCAATAGTGTGTGCCAAGCTAATGGCACATAAAGTCCTGTCTTGCAGGCCACGTTAGCCTCCCAAGTACTGGAGGTCAGTGCTGAATGAGCCGCACCTCTATATCTAGGACTTCTGAAAATTTAGGCGCTGAATAATAAGGTTCTTCAGGTAAGAAACACGTATTCAGTTGGGTCATTTATTTAAAACATAAAATTAAAAATAATAGGCAAAACTAAATCAGAACTAAGGCTCCTCCTGAGCAGAAACACTTTATGCATTTTTTCACAAATCTTATCATACAAGTTTTATATATTTTGTAAACGTGCAGCTTCAATTCTGTTATTTCCTGTTATCTTTGCTTTGGTTAATTGCTGGACATAGTCACTTATTACTTAAGGAGTCATATTTCATTTTTTTGTTTTATTTTATGGTTAGACGGGGACGACATCGTTTTTACCAGCACTTAATATCCTCATTCATATATGAGGTGATCACAATGCATATACTTGTTTAGATTGAGATGAAATAAGAAATATGAGTTTGGCACCTGAGATTTAGCATGGTAACGAGAGCTAGCTACGATCCACTAAAACCTTTCTCGTGATCTCTAATGGCGGGGAATCGAAACAACATGGAAACTTGGCCGCTGCTCAGTGCTAGAGGCGGCAATGGAGCAGAGCTTCCAGAAGATGGTCCTTTGTTTTTGCACGGATCAGATCACCCAGGTATGCAATTTGTCTTGCATCCACTTACCAGACCTTTTTTTGTATGGAAGCGATGATCGCACTTGGTGTGAAGACAAAATTAGGGTTTATAAATGGATTAGTAGAACCATCGGAGCAGGGAGATGCTAATTTTGATAAATGGAAAAGGGTAGATTGGATGTTGATTTCGTGGATTTTGAATTCATTATTCGTAGATGCATTCATTTATGCTGAATCGGTGAAGGATATTTGGGAAGAGATCTGTCTAAGTTTTGGAAAAAGCAAAACCTTTATTTTTCAATTGCAAAGAGATATTTCAAATCTTAAGCTGGATAATGAGTCTGTTATGCAGTATTTCAATAAATTGAAGAAAAAATGGGATGAATTGAGTTGTCTGTGCCACAAGTGATCTATAAATGTGAAATGGAGAAGCAAGTAATGGAACCAAATATGCAAACAAAGTTGATGCAATTCTTAATGGAATTAAATGAAGTTATAACCACATTAAGAATCAACTGCTGTTAATGGATCCCTTGCCTAATGTTAATATGGCATATTCAGTTATTTTGACAATTAGATTGGCAATGATTTCTTCAATCATCTCGTGGAGATTTGAATGCAAACATAGCAATGGTTGTCAAACATAAAGGGCCAAGGAGAGAATTTGTAAATAGACAACATAATTATGCACAAGGTAAAGGGAAATAAGGGCAAAGGCTATCAAAGGAAGAGAAGTCAAGACTGGTATGTGAGAACTGTGGTTGGAATGGTCATCAGAAGTCAACTTGTATCAAATTGCATGGGGATCCTGAATGGTTTAAGGCAATGAAAGAGAAGAGGGGTCAGAGTTTTGTAAATGCATCACATTCAGATGAAGTTTCAAGGAAATACATAGTCAAAGTAAGACGACTGATATGTCAGCTATAGCACAAGAAGTAGTCAAATTGCTTGGGAAATATCCTTCAGAAACTGCAGTTGGAAAGCCCTACAAAGAGGAAGAGCAATATGTAAATTTTGCAGGAAATGAGGAGAATGAAGGGATGCATTATGCACTTTGTTTGATGAGATTGGAGAGGAAGCATGGGTCATTGACACAAGAGCTAGGAAGCACATGTGCATCAAAAGTGAGCTGACGAGCAACACTAAGACCTTAAGGACACCAATTACAGTGTATTTACCTATTTACCTGATGGAACAACAGAGCTTGTTACAAAGGTGGGAGAGGTGAAGCATCAGATGAACTTGTGCCGCATGAAGTGTTGTTTGGACCCTCTTTTAAGTACAATCTTGTTACAACTGTGTGTGAGATCAGATTTGAGGTATATTATCACACCTATGGGGTGTTCTCTGCAAAATGCAGGAAGGATATTGGGGAATGGAGAAATGAGGGACAAATTATATGTCTTAGTCCAGAATGATAGGAAAGGAGTACATGGCTTATCAAGCAAAGTGTCCCTGGAGCAATGGTATAAAAATTGAGGTCATGCTTCAACTGAAGTCTTACAGCATATACCTTTTCCTCAAGGAGCATTGTACTGATATTGGACTTAAAAATTTGAAGAATTGTGAAGTGTGCTTCAAGTCCAAACAAAATAGATTACCTTTCCCTCGTAGTAACATACAAACAATGAGTTGTTTTGAATTAATACATGTGAACATTTGGGGTACATGTGGAGAAGAATCTTTAACAAAGACACCATACTTCCTAATTGTGGTGGATGATTATAGAGGAGTGTGGATATTTCTTATGTTTGGGAAAGCAGAAACAGTAGGTCTGATCAAAAGTTTCATTCTCATGGTCAATACCAGTTTGGTAAGCAAGTGAAACAACTGAGGAGTGATAATGGGGAGGAGTTCACTAGAAAAAAAGTATGAAAAGGTTCTCCAAGAAAATGGGATTCTTCATCAGAAATCTTGTGCATATACACCACAACAAAATGGTGTAATTGAGAGGAAACACAAGCAAATTTTGGAGATTACAACAAGCATGTAATATTCAATCTGGGATGAGACTGATTTTTTTGCCATGTACAGTGCTTGTTGCAACTCATGTTATCAATGGGCTGCCTAGTGTGATATTGAGCAGGGAAACACTTTCGAAGTCTGGTAGGTGTCCGAATATAATAGGCTAAGGCCATTGGGTGCCTAGTTTATGCAGTCAACACGTCCTGCAAGGGGTAAGCTTGAACTGAGGTCACATAAATGTGTTTTCGTAGAATATGCTAGAGGTTGCAAGGATATATTCTCTTTGATTAGAACGAGAAAGGAAATTTGTATCAAGAGATGTAATCTACCTTTGTCACTTACCTTTGTCACTGATATCTTCCCTTACAAGGGAAAAGAGATACAGGAGAATTCAAGTACACCTTTGCCTGTTTTTGAGAATAGTTTGGAGCCACATTGTTCTAGAATCACAAATGGACAAGAAAATGAAAAGTGAGGTTAATGGAAAAAGGTTGAGGGAAAAACTGATTTGGATGAGGGATTATGTGTGTCATAGAACAGAAAGTGATGATGTGGGAAAATATGAACTTAAGGAGATCTCACTTGACAACAAATTCACAACACAAGAGCCTGTTTGCGATGAACAAGCTAAGATCAAGAGTTGAGGCTATGAATCTAGAATTGGAGCTCACTTATTTGTCACTGGGTAAAAAGGCTATAGATCCGAAATGGGTGTACAAAGTTAAAAGGAGAGCAAATGGTGAGGTTGAAAGGTTCAAAGCAAGACTTGTGGCCAAAGGTTTTAACTAAGTGGAAGGGGTGGACTACTTTGATGTCTTCTCACACCAATGGCTAAGCTAGTTAGACTGAGAATGTTTATGCAATGGCTACAATGAAGGGCTGGAATTTGTGCCAATTACATGTAAGAACGCCTTTCTTCATGGGGATTTGAAAGAAGAGGTTTGTGTGAAGTTGCCACAAGGATAAAAGAAAGGGAGAGCGGGACATGCTTGCAAGCTTACCAAAAGCATGTATGGATTGAAGCAAGCATCTAAAGAATGGAATTGTGACTTTCAAAAAGGCTATTAGAGTTTGGTCTCACACAGTCTTCACAGGTTCACTGTCTTTTATACAAACAAATGCACTAGACTTTCTTGTTATGCTGGTCTATGTCGATGATGTATTAGTCACAAGATCAAATGATGATCAAATTGTTGCATTAAGGCATACTTACTTCAGTTGTTTGTCATCAAAGATTTGGGGGTTGCTAATATAGAAATCTCAAGGATTAAAAGAGGGATACATTTGAGCCAAAAGAAATATATTCAAGACTTGTTGCAAGATGTGGAGTTGGAGGACTTCAAGGTACTAGATACACCTTTACCACTAGGAATTAAACTTTCTTGCTATGAGGGAACACCTTTGGCTGAACCTGAGAGGTATAGAAGAATGATTGGGAGAAACTTATACCTCAATATGATCAGGACAGACGTCGACAATGCATAATGCACCCCTACATGTTGTCAAATATCTGAAGGGGACAGTTTCACTTAGACTGCACTTCAACACAAAATCACAATACACTTACATGTTTTCTATTGATTGGGCAAACATGCAAGGACACAAGGAAATCTATGAAGGGCTAGGGCTATTGTGTGTTCTTTGGAGACAACCTCATTTCATGGAAAAGCAAGAAACAGGTCACAGTATCAAGATCTTCGGCAGAGGCAGAATATAGAGCCATGGGGACTACTGTTTGTGAACTACAATGACTGCAAATTTTGGCTAAGGCTAAGGATCTTCAGATGGATAGATCATTGAATACCACTATGTAGTGTGATGACCACGCTGCTATGCAAATCACGGCTAACCCGGTGTTTCATGAGAGAACAAAACACCTTGGTACTTCATAGATTGTCATGTGGTGCGCAACAAGTTCAAGGAAGGTTTTGTTAAACCTACATATGTTCCTTCTATCTCTCAAGTAGCAGATTTCTTCAATAAGCTGTTGTCGGCTTCAATCTTCAACAAATTGTTGTGCTAAGTTGGGTGTGTCTTGCTTCACACGCAATCCAACTTGAAGAGGGGGTGTAACAGTGCAGCTTCAATTCTGTTATGTCCGGATTTCTTTGCTCTGTTTAGTTCCTGGTCATAGTCCCTTCTTACTTAAGGAGTCGTGTTTCATTTTTTGCTTTGTTTTAGAGTTAGACAGGGACGACGTCTCTTTTACCAGCATTTAATATCTTCATGCATATATGAGGTGATCACGATGCATGTACTGTTTTGATTCAGATGAAATGAGAAATATGAGTTTGTCCCCTGAGTTTAACATATTTTACCCTCTCCTGTGTCTCGCTTTAGTAACGAGTTCTGTGTTTTAAAGATCTAAAGCCTCAGACTTATGATTAACAAGCAACATTATGTTTACTTCTTGGATCACAGCAATCTAGCAAACAATGAACATCACAGATCACCAGAACTAGCATGAGTGATACCCGACCAAACTGATTTTCAATTAAGATTACCAAACCCTAAAACTGTGTCCCTCACAGCCACAGCCCTACATTTCGACATTAACTTTAACATAAATCCAGCAAACAACAGAAAATAATGGTACCAAAATCAATAGCAAAAAAGAAAACTGACCAAGGAAGGTGAAGAATGCAGAGGGGGCGGTTTGAGCCTGAGGTAGCGGGCAGACATACTAGCAATTTCTGAAATGGCAGCCTCCCTAACTTCGGGCACCTCGCTGGTCAAATCCTCATAGGCCGCTTCAAAGGCCTCCAGCCAAAAACTGTCCAATCTCACTCGCTGGCTGTTGATATACACATCCCACATATGCTTCACCAGCTTCTCCCTCTCTTCCATATCCTAACCCAGAAAATACCCAAACAACAAAAAAGTATTCAAACCTCACCAGGCAACATAACAGAGAATACAGATATGAAAATGGAAAGGGGGAATAGAAAGATTACGAGGACGTCGAGATCGTCCGAGGGTTGGGAGCCGTAATTGTCATTGAAGCGGTCCTTTAGATCTCCGGCGGACCACCGGAGGGTGACTGTGCCGGTAAGCATCGACCAGAAAGCCAGCAGCAAAATGGCGCCGAAAGCCCAGAACTTGTATCGGCCGCGTCCGAAAATGCTGAAGGAATCCGAGGGCGCGTCTCTTCTGGGGTGGACGGATGAAGATGTGGGCGTAGACACGGGTAGAGGAACGTCATCATCCCTCATATCGATGTACAGCTGATGCAACTCGAAGCTTTCAGAATAATACTTAAAAATGGAGATGGACGGAGAGTGGGATTATTATGATCTACAACTACTGAGAAAATAGCTATTTTCAACCCCCTCCCCCGTCTCAAGTCATACTAAGTTTTTCACACCACCCAATAAAAAGCTAAGTTTTTCACCTCAAAAAGTACGAAGACATATGCGATGAACTATGCGCTAAAAAGGCGACATGTATGAGCATGGGCGAGAAAATTATGAGTTAAAGTATGCGACTGTTCTACGATGAATATTCGGAGATTCGATGTACGATTCGGTCAATCGCGGTCCGTCGCCCATTAAATAATTATTTTTGTTAGGCGAATGAATCTACGACTATTAGTCGAAAAAATCTTTCTGCGACACAACTGCGACATACCAACATCGCATAGTATTCGCAGAGTTGGTGCATAATAACTTTAATAAGTTTATTTCGTGTTTCTTTCATCTTTCAGTTATGCGAGGGTATATTCGAATTGCCGCCTTCGCACTTCTACTCAAAAGTTTATTTTTTATTTCTTTCATCTTTCAGTTATTTCAGTTATGCGATGGGGTATGCAATTTTTCGCATATTCGTCGCATACCACCTTCGGACTTCTACTTTAAAGTTTATTTTTTTATTTATTTCATCTTTCAGTTATGCGATGGGGTATGCGGATTTCCGCATATTGCTCGCATCTACCACCTACGCACTTCTATTCAAAAAATTATTTTTTATTTCTTTCATCTTTCAGTTATTTCAGTGATGCGATGGGTATGCGAATTTACGCATATTGCTCTCATACCACCACCGTACTTCTACTCGAAAGTTTTTATTTTTTATTTCTTTCATCTTTCAGTTATTTCAGTTATGCGATGGGGTATGCGAATTGCCGCATACCACCTTCGCAC